GCACGCATACACGCAAAAAACAAACACACACACACACACACACACACACACACACACACACACACACACACACACACACATACACACACACACAATGGGTAAACACTGAACTCAGGCGATATTTCTCTGCTTTCTGCACATTGTGCACCTAAGGAAAACGACTCGTGACTTGGTATGCTTTTTATTAAACTTGTAATTGGTATTATAATATTACTATGTTTCTATTTCCTTCCATTGGTCCATTGATCTTCTTTGAACGTTGACTTTCTGTGCTCCTGTGAATTCCTTTTCATGCAATTATTTAATATTTATGTTCGTTTCTGGGAAAAGACTGAAGACTTACAGTTTGAAGAAAGATTAGAGTCAGAAATAACAATTTATTTTAAATATTTACTTATGAAGGAATACATTTGGGTATGTTTTACAATAAGGTTTTATGGGCCAAAATGATGATACACTTTCAATTCTTTCAGTTACTTTTCCGGCTCCTAGTTCTGGGTTCCGGATTCCGGCATTCGCCTTTTTGGTAAGTAAACTACTTTCGCTATTAAAGTGAAAGTGCACCCAGCATCGCGACATGACAACACTCAAACTGACGATCCATCTTCCTGATGGCACGGATCAGACTTTGTCTCACTCAGTTGTACGAGATTCAGGCGACTGTGTTTCCTATGAAAATCTTTGTACTTCATTCAGTAGCCTTCAGGAACAGTCAAACAAGTATCTATCTGTTCTAGTTGAGGAAGAGAAGAAACGTAAACCAGCGCTTGGGCAAAGCAAGGGCAAAGCTTCAACTTCAAGTTCTGAAAACGGGAAGGGCTCTGAAGAGAGTAAGTTAAGATTTTATGAAGACATTAATATAGGCCTAATATAAAGAAACTAACAGCTTTGAATGGATAGTTCTGTAGAGTCTATCTAGATCTACATATCTTACGACTTAAGTGTAAGAATTTCATTGATGATGAAATTATGATTATGACTGACAAGACTGTATGTCGAAGTCCATGCAATGCGCGGTCCATGACATAAGAAAACTAGATCTAGATCTAGATCTAGATCTCTAATGGCCAGCTCTATTCGGACTCAAGGTAGATTAGATTTTTTATCTATTCGGACGAGTCCGAATATAGATTTCTAGATCTATAGGTCTAGTAGGTTTTGTAAATTTTTACTTTCTCTCCCGCACACAGACGCACTGCTTCGGTGGTCAAACTGCAGTACTGTTTGCTGCAGATCACACTTAAAGCCTCTAAAACTGTCGCAAATCAATTATTTTCTAGAAAATAGTCCAAAGCACGTCTAAGTCTACTAGATCTAGACTCTATCTCTAGTATGAACAATCAGATATTTCAAAAACTATAATTTGCGACGGAAATGAAGTTGATATTAATGTTCAGCGCTTCAATATTTAGTAGAAAATGGACAACTGGTAGAACTAAGTGTGAGACAGGAGGGAAAGTAAAAAAATACAGTTTTATCTATTCAGACCCAGGTCTGAAAAAAAATGTATAGATCTAGAAATCTAGATATAATCTAGTTTTAAAATATTACAGCCAAATTCTGTTTTTCCGTGGGACAGCCCTCGTAGTACTAGTAGTGATGTTTCCCTTTTGCGTCCTTGTACGTGAGGACAAAAATGACCTGGTGATTGGCTGTTCACACCCAATTGTTCGACTTGCAACATTAAAAAATAAGCGCTTTTTTTTTTAAGGTCGCAATCAAATTCAGTCAGAATGTGCCATCATACATGGTAGCTTTTCACCCTCCATGGGGGAAAAAACCCGGCAGACCCCGACTCAATTTAACTGAATTCAATTGGCTGTGTGCACTAGGTAGGCCTATGTGACGCATTGAACAAAGTAACACACTATAATTTTCTCTCAGAAACAGACATTCTTCATCCCATTTCTGTCCAATAGAACTATATATATCTATCTCTTTAAAATTGGGAACACTATAAAATGCTAATTATAGAATTTATATGTCTGGCTGGGGTAAGGGTGAACGGGGGGAGTTAATGTTTTGGGCCAAGACTTTGTTAACCGAGTGTATTTCGTTAGTTTCTTAGCATTCTCATCCTCCGTAAAATTCCACGTAACTGAATGAGCTATCCTTTTGCCAGTCTGGAGTCTTGTCCAGGTATGGCTAAAGCAGTAAGTAAGTGGCAAATACAGTCGACTCCGCTTGTAGTGAACTCGCTTGAGTTAATCCTTAGTTAGGTTGAACCTTTTTCTCAGGTCCCAGCACCTCTTTTTCTTTACTGTACTGTTCCCAACAGTCAGTTAAGTTGAACTTCAGATGAGTTGGATCTATTTTTCACTCCCCTGATGACATCTGAGCCTCAACTCATCGACTGTAGAACACCAAACAGAACCATGGGTGTCTCAAATAATAGGCAATAAAGATTAGCACCATGCTGACAATACATGTAGGCTACTGCCATTAATTAGAGACAGCTTTTTAATTAATGATAAACATTTCAGATGTATAAATGTAGGCTACCCAGAGCTGTTAAAGTACTTTTTAAAAAGTACTTAAGTACAAATGTAAGTACAATCTAAAAAATGTACTTAAGTACAGTAAAAGTACTTTCCTATAAAATGTACTTGAGTACAAGTACTTTTTTAAAAAGTACTTATGAGTACATTTTGAGTACTTTCTGCTAATATGCTAAAACACTTCAGCGCTTATGCAAAACATCATATTTTATAACTTATTCAGTATATTTGACAAATTAGGCTGTTTATTACTAAAAATGTAAACAGTATACAAAGCATTTGAATATACAATGTACGCACTGAACGGTGGAAATGGTCCGTGAAGTTGAACAAAAAACAACCCAAACGAACAGACGCAACTAGTGGGTAAGTGATATTATGAATAGAACTTGTTTGAGCAAGACAATGTGATCAAATGTAAGTCAGTCCTAGAGGTCGGAAAGTTCTACAGAAAGAGTATCCAAATATTGAAAAATGTAGATACAAAGTTGCTCTTAAGAAAACATAAAATTGATGAAAATGGCCCACATAGAAATGGAAAAGTGCATTGAATTCTTCATTAACAAATCCTCAAGGAATCAATGTAGCCTTAAGCAAAAACCACCCAAAAAAAGTTTAAAAGAAATTTAGGCAGCCTAAAAATTGTTAGATACACATTGAGAACACCGTTTCAGTTTCAATTGATTATAGTGGTCTAACAGATTTTGGTCACACTGTGTAGTCCACGGCGCCAACGGCAAACCAAAATACAATAGTTTCCTAGAGTCTAGTAAGAGTAGTGTAACCAAAGATTCTCTACTGCAGTAGTCTCCGCCTAAGATCCCAGTGCTCGGAAGCAAGGAAAATATGGGATCCTAGCCAACGAAGCCAAGGAAGAATCTACAGTGACCCATAAACTGACGTGACCCTTGGGTGGATTTATGACATGGCAAGCAAAGAGTGGTCAACCTTGATGACCAATCACAGTGGCATGAGGCATGCCATAAATAATATTATATATACACACTCATTAGCCTATCGTGAGTCTTGAGATCTTTATCTACGTTTATCCAGTTGCCCCTCCCCTTTACCTGTCCAACAATTTTATTGAGTCCCCCCCCCCCCCAACCTCCTTTGTCGTTACGCACCATTACGATGTGACCACACTAATTAAAATTCAGGTTGTCTCGCAAATTCGGGAAAAACTGCTTTCAATGGTCAGGGAAGAGTTCACAGTTTGATGTGATCCCGCCTGGAGCGAACTTGTAGGCCCTACCCACCCAGGGAGTGATGTAAGTTTAGGTGGTGAGGTCAGATGCGAGTGCGATGTTTGGGGAAAAGAAACGCATCGGTCAGTTCACACCTTGGTGTGATCTCGTCTGGAGCAAACACTGTACCGTTTCAAGAAGTTTTACAACGCTTGAGATCACATTCACGATAGTGGCTGATCTTTGAGGCGACGGGCCGTTCTTTGATCTCAACTTTTAACTCTTGGCGGTTGATCGGGTTTTTGTTCCGTAAATTATGATCAGAAATGCCTGCACTTACCCTTTCATTAAGCTACCAAAGTACTCAAAATGTACTTTAAAAGTACTCAAAAGTACTTTTATAAAAAGTATCGGAGTACAGTAAAAGTACTGGTTTAAAAAATGTACCGGAGTACAGTAAAAGTACCGAAAATTGTAACGTAAGTACAAGTACAGGAGTACTTGTACTCCGATACTACCAGCTCTGAGGCTACCAATACCTTTCAAGACAGTCTTAACCTTTGTTTATTTTTACAATTATTATTAGGGAGTGCTTTTTTAGGCCACATATGGCCTAAATAAGGTAAGGGAGGGGGGGGTTTAGCTTATTTAGGCCACACATGCTCAAACTACCCTTTTCAGGCAACTGAGTTCGTTCCACTTTCATAATGGTGAACCTTTCTCATTTAGTACGGTTTTGTCTCAGTGTACAACTTATAAATCATAATCATAATGATTGTAAAGAACAAAGCACAATAACGCAAAATTTTGCTCAATCCCAATGGTTTGATTGAGGGCCAGATTTTTCCTTCATGGAGGGGCAAAAGCTAGGCTACCATTTTGGCACACTTTGGTCAAGTGAAAAGGTCAAATCCTCCGAATGGACTTCCGGGTTAAATTTGGGGTATAAAAAGTGTGTACACTACGTGGCTGAGTCAAAGTTACACTATCTTTACCTGAGTGACACTCTCTCGTACTGTCTCATCGTAGTAGTACATGTAGTAGTAGTAGCAAAGATTGTGTAGAGAATCTTTGGTAGTAGATTCTATCATGTAGGCAGTTTTGTGACGTGCTCGCGGCGGGGCGAATCGGCCTTGATAAGCCCCGTAGACTTTTGTGATCGGCCACGAAGCCTGGTGTTTTCATGGGTCTAGATCTAGATCTAAACAACTCAGTGTTAATACTGTTAATCGCACTGCATGCCACATCCGACAGGCCTAGATCTACATCTTTTTAAAAGGAAAAGAAAAATCATCAAAATGGTTGAATTCGCGTGAAAATCGATTTGGTAGAACTAGAACTATTAAAATTTGCTTCTGAAAACAAGGCAATTTTTATACGAAGGCCGTTTTTATAACTCGATGAAATAAAAACTACTGGCTGTGTACTGTGTTATTCTGTATAAATTATGAAACTTCAGGACGTAGGCTATTATTATTTTCCAGCATCTTTTGACGCCTGAGCTGTAGAGGTTGAAGTTTTCACAACACTAATAGATCTAGATCTAATAATTTAATAGGGCTTTCCGTAAAAAATGCATAGATCTACAAAAGCCGAACCACCGAATCGACCGGTCAGCGACCCGGGCACCTCGCTCTCCCCTGCACACTGATAACGTGTTACTTCGGTGTATCGCATTATTCAACTATTAATATATATGTGCGGCTATGGCAATTGGGATGTACTGACTGACAAAAAATTCAGTTTTGTTTTTATTTTCCATATATTTGACTTTAATAGTGCAGGCGATAGCTAGATCTAGATTCCCTGTCTAGAATCAGTAGTAGCAGGCCTATGCTAGAAGCAGCCAGAGAGCCTACAACTGCTAGATCTAGATCTAATTGCTATGCCTTTGGGCTTTGGAATTGAAGTAAAACGAATTGCACAGTTCTAGTTACTTTTAGATTCAGCAACTAACTGTATTTCCAGAGTTAATAATAACAAATCTCAGCATAACAATCACTTATACTTTTATTAGAATAATTAGATCCAACTTTTTTTTCTAAAATCTGTTTTCCGCAAACTTAAGATTTTCTCTACTTGTAGAGCACAGAATTTACATTGTAAGCCTCTGCTCAGTCTTAATATAGATCTAGATTTTATATATATATAGAGAGAGAGAGTCTATATTTATATATTTTTTATTTATTTTTTAAAAATTAAACTCTTTTTTTTTAACATGTCATAAAATCAAATTTTGCCATTTTCTTTGATAAGAATAACATTAGCAGTGGACTTTTTAGACAGCGAGTCTCTGATTCAATATTTTAAAACAATATGCTAATCAATGAAAATTGCAAATTGATAATAGTTTAGTCCTGTAGAGGATAGGTGGACTCCGGGGTCTGCAGAGCGAAATACTAGGTTTTAGGATGTGAACCCCAGTCACCGTAGTGAAATAAGGTTTGGTTTAAGTAAAGATTGGTGGACCCGGGGTCAGCGTAGTGATAAATAAGCAGGTTTAAGGTGGACCCTGGGCCCCGGGGTCTACCTAGCGAAATACTAGGTTTTAGGACAGGTGGACCCCAGGGTCACCTTAGTGAAATAAGTAGGTTTCTTTAAAGATTGGTGGACCCCGGGGTCAGCGTAGTGAAATAAGTAGGGTTAATTTTAAAAGGATTGGTGGACCTCGGAGTCACCATAGCCGTAGAGGAATAAGAAGGTTTAATTAAGGATTGGTGGACCCCCGGGACACCTTGATTAAACCTACTTGTTTTACTACGGTGACCGCAGGTTCCACCTATTCTAAAACCTAACTAGTATTTCGTTAGGTAGACCCTGGGGTCCACCTTACACCTACCTATTTCACTACGTTGACTCCAGGGTCCACCAATCCTTAAAATTAAACCTAGATCTACATGTGCTTATTTCACTACGTTGACCCCAGGGTCCACCAATCCTTAATTAAACCTAGATCTACTGATTTCACTATGTTGACCCCGCGGTCCACCAATCCTTAATTAGATCAGTAGAATCTCGACCTTCCGAATCCATGGTTAGTTCAAGAAATCTACTATAAGATGTGGCCTAAATAAGGTAGTAAGGGAGGGGGGTTTAGCTTATTTAGGCCATATGTGGCCTAAATAAGGTCACCCTTATTATTATTAGCAACAGAGAAACCAAATTAGTTACCACACTTTGCACACTTTACATTAGTTTAATAGGAACCATACAACTCAAACAGTTAGCGGTTGGCATCCCTTTTTATACATTGGCAAAACCTGATGGTACACCGGGGGGGGGTTGTAAAACAAGGTTTGACTGTAGTTTGGAAAGTTCAGTGACTCAACTATATTTTTACCTAATGACATGGTGCAAATTCTCAGTTACTCAGAAAGCCAATTTTATGAATTTATGCATTGGAAAAATCATTTGTTCAGTCAAGCTACGTTTGCAAACTCTTTTGTTTGACAATTTTTTTAATTGAAGATGTGTTATTAATTATATAATATATTAATATAAAAGGTAGATAATTATATTAAACATCAGTATTTGCCAAACATATATACTGCATCCAGAAAGTCCCCTATTTGTCTATTCTTTTCTTGTGGTCTCACAAAACAAAAATCATGAGTACATAATATTATACACATATATATAGTCCAGCACGCACATAGTGAAATCAGCTGGAAATGGAAATCTTTACATGCCATATATTTTACAAATTTCACTCATGTATGTGTTTTTAATACGGTACAAAGAATGTACTCTTAGATTTTACATATTTAATAAGAAAAAAATCTGTTCGCTATTGTAATTGTATGTTTATTGTATGCATGTTAGACTATATTGTAGGCCTACCATGTCACCTTTACAAATCATTATTTTGATGATTAGTCTATATTTTATCTTAACTTTCTTTTAAACAGATGTTGATGGCACAGATGATGACGAAGATGATGGTAGCGATGATGACGAGGAGGATGGCAATGGGGACTGTTCTGATAAACCACCTCCACAGAAAAAGAAAAAACAAGCTTGATGTCATCATTCTCATTACCATTCTCGAAAAATTCTGATCACCATTTAAATTTAAATCTATCATGCTCCTGTCCAGTCATTTTTTTACTTACATGTGTATACGTTATAATGTATGAGAACATACAGTATAACAAGGATAGCTCGAATTCATCAGGACTGGCCTTGGTACATGTAGTTTGAGGGAAATCTTACAAAGATAAAGAAGGGGAAAAAATGGGGCCGCAGACACAGCTAGACGGATGCATGATTTCGAGTCTTCTGTGTTCGACCTATGCGTGTTATACACATATGTATGAATGTATTCATGTGTGCATGTTTGTGGATGGGGAAGAGTGTGTACATGAGGATCTCCAATATCTCACAATCTTCACCCTTGTGTGTGCCGTTTCTTGATTGTATCTTATAGTTTTTCTTTCCATTCAGATACATTGTCATTTCCATAAAATTACCTTTCTCATGTTGTTAATATAATAATGTTCTCCAAACTCCTTGTTTTATATAATAAATGTACCACTCACATATAGTATAAAATGTGTGAGTTGTTATATATTGTTAAGATCTTTTACTGTCTGCATCTCCTTTGAAGTTTTATGCAACTGCTTCCTAATGATGATATAGAATAATAGTAATAGATCAGTCTACTTCACCAAAGAAACCAGCAGTTTTCAGTTCTTTGGGCAAATTTCAATCGAATTGTTTATTTTAGGCTCAACACTGTTTTTTGTCCATTTGAAAACACATTTCTTTGAATTTGCTTTTTAACCCTATCCGTACACCCTGGGGTCATTTTGTGCCCCCTGGGTTGTATTCTTCACATTTTAGAATATTTCTAGTCCAAAGATCTCTTTGAAACTTTCAGTATTTCTCAAAAAATCATTTTGACAGACTGCTGTGCAAAGCGTACGGATCGGATTAACAAGTAAATTTCCTCTTTGTAAAGTGGTGGCACAGAGTTCCCCACGTCGTATGGATATCATTGTAAAACACGACGTACGTATTATAGGGTTAAAAAGTAGATCAAAGGCACAAAAAAAAATGTAAATTTGAGTTTCCAAGAACACTCAAGCTTTGGGAGTCACCAAACTTTGGCACGAGGCAACCCTTACCTCCTTCAACTGCGAATATCTCCACTGCTATACGGTACAAGATAGATGGGTACGTTTTCACTAAAACTAACTACTAGAAGCAAATAAGTGAACAAGCTTTAAGATGATAAAAATAACTGATATATTCCCAAAAACTGACAAGCGCCCACTTCATCCATGACTTGAAACACATGATTTTTGTGTTGTATAGTGATGGTGCAATGCTCTAATCTTGTAGGCCTACTAGAGAAATTTGTGGTTTTATAACATCGTTTCCAAGGTCAATCTGCAGGTCCTCTATAAAAATCAGGACCCTGCATATTCCATTATTTCAAACACTGTGGACTAACTGTTTTGTCTGATACTTGATACTCTCATCTATTAATAAGAATATAAATGGGGGGGGGGGGGGGGGGGCTTTTGAAAAATGTTCAAGATACCAGTACCACGGTTACAGAAAAAATACCATAGATTGGGTTACCATTAAAATTAAATACACAAGTTTACTCCTGTCAAGAGGGAGGTCCTTCAAATTTAACTGTCCATTTCTCCAATCTTCTCATGTATTGATAAGCTTTCAAAATTCTCCAGGTCATTCTAAATTCCAGGGTCAGAATTGAAATCCAACCTGGAATGTCATCAGCGTACATTGTCTTCCTTGCTAAATTAATGGATCTCTCTTAGACTTCCAAGAAATTCATCTTGTTGTTAACAAGAAGTCTTTGTTACTAATGTTACCATTGCTCACAACTGGATCTTTTCAGGATCTTTTCAGCATATTATTGCTAATAGAAATCCCTTTGTTGAATGCTTAGGGTGCATAACCAGCATCTCTTCAATCTATACGAGGGGCATACCAAAAGTTTTTTACCTGACCATGAAGGAATAAAGGTAGAAAGCTGAAATTTATTGGTACTAAACTTTAATCTTTCTCAGAGTCTATGATAATGTAGTCGCCTCCCACAGTTACACATTTTTGCCATTAGTGTATGACCTAGAAAAGACCTTGAGAATAGAAAACCCTCTCCTTGTCAGAAAACCAGCCCTCTACCGCTTCTTTAACCTCATAATCACTTTCAAAATGCTAGATCTATCCTTTTCAATCCTTTTTTCAATTTGGGGAATTAAAAAAAGTCAGACGAGTCTAAATCTAGAGAATAGGGTGGATGTGGCAAAATTTCATAGCCACATTCTCACGCAGTTTCTGCAGCTTTTCTTGAAGTGTGTGCTTGCACGTTGTCGTGACCCAGTAAAATGCCTTTTCTGATCTTTCCTCAACGTTTTTCTTTTATAGCTTCTCTTTATTTTTTTAGCTGGTTAGAATAATGGTCTCCGGGGATTGTATGTCCATTTTCAAGATGGTCTGTCATAATCACTCCTTCTTGGTTAAAAAAATCTGATAGTCTGTCAAAAAATTTAGTTTCATCCTTTTCATTCAGACTCAGACCAAGCAATTCTTAACGACAATCCACATGTTGCACTTTTTTAGGAGGAGTCAACAAATGTGAGACCCATCTCGCAGAAACCTTGATCATATTCAAATTTCATTTAAGATTTGTTCAATTGATCCAATGAGAAGCTTAGTTTCTTTGCTCAAACGTTCGACTGTCACCCACCTATCAGACAACACAAGTTTCTTGATTTTCAACACATTCTCTTCTGTTGTTGTTGTCACTGGGCGTCCATCACGGTGGTCATCTTCAATGTCCATAAATCCGCATTTCAATTTTTTTACACCACAATTTTTTTTACAACATAGGATGGGCAATCAGTTCCATATACAGCATGCATCTCCATAATAGTATCCTGTAGTTGCTTGCCTTGCAAGGACAAAAATTTCATAACTGCCCTGTGCTCAATTATATCCATTTTTATGTTGAAATTGGAGAACAACTACAACATACCCCTATTCACTTAACAGTGCGCTTGTGTTAAAACCAGTGATCGGAAATTCCCCAAAATATACGTGCTTAGGGTGCATCCAATTTTGGAGGGAAACGAAAATAGGATAGTTGTGTTGTTGTGAAATAAAGACCACTGCAAGTGTAATTCATTAATGCAAATTGAGACATGTCAGGAATCGATGCTACCATCATCGCTTTGGCAGAACAAGTAAGTAGGCCTAATTGTTACTCCAATGGTTAAAAAATTAAACCACTAAAATTTTATTTTCATAGAGCACCAACAAAAACACACAAAATGATCATGAGGTCGACAAATCAAGCAACATGAAACAAATTCAAGATTATTTGATTATATAATCTTTATAATCAATAAGTAAGTGTTACATGATATTTATATAATATATAAACCAGTATAATATAATAATAATTTTTAATAAATTTGCAGTGATTTATACATAGCACACTGTTTAAGAGTACAGACAACTGTCACAACTGAAGCCCAACCAATACAAAAGACTAAGCAAGAAAAAATTCCAAATACACGCCATTAGTAAATGAGTAATGATTATGATGCAGTTTGTGCTTCTTAACACTTGAATATAATATGTTAACACACATCACTGACTCTGAGATACATGATATATCATCACTCAACCAAATTACTGGAGGTAGAATAAGAAAAGAGAGTAAAATAAGTCCCAACAAGAGTCTAGTAGAAGGATAATAATATATATAATATATATATATACACAGTGGAGTCAGCTTAACTTAAATCGAACATGGTTAATCTGAAAACAGTAGTAGACCTATACCAAAAGAAGATAAAATCCCTTAAGTATTTTTTCTTATTTTTCAACAACCTCTATAAACTGAAAACTCTGCTAAACTTAGTAAATCTGGCGGCTCCACAGATGCGGGATTAAGAGGACTTCACTGAAGTCAAAACATGTACAAAAGAGTTCTTTTGAGCTTTCTGTCATAGAACACCGCTTATCATTCTCATTCAAAGTTCCCCTTCGAATTTTTATCACGCACAAAATAATCTTTGACTTTTTGTTATAATATACAGTACACAGCACCTTTGTTTTATAGAAGTGTTAGTTTCTCCTTCACTAAAGCCCAACAAGACTTCCATCCGAGTTGTCTTTATCAAAGATATAAAAATACCTGCAAATTATTACACATAAATTTCAAATTGCAAAGTTAATTACACTGTATCCAAACAAAATATAAGGAAGTAATACTGTCAAGATGGATATAATCATAATGTATACATGATGTATGTAAATTATACCCTACAAAATATAATCACAACATCTGATTTCACAGCAACCAAATTGGTGTCAGACACTTGCCCTGCACATAGTGAAGTAAATCTCCAAAACTTCTTTCACCTACTGTGTAGATCTAGTACAAATGGACTATTCCTTGAATTCAGAGGAAACTTTTATCTATAATAAATGTAACAAACTGCGCAAGTTTCTGCTTCTAATTCTATAAGCACACTCAGGAGTAAAATAAATTGTTTGAAAAAGAAAGGGAGAAATATCACATAATTCTGATTACAGCAATTTTTGGTTTGTTTTAGTAGAGGCGGCCTAACCATTTTAGTCTTATGGCACTTACCACACAATAAGGTAAGATAGTATAAGTGCCGAAGATTATAAGTCTTTCATGTTAAATACATGCAAGTAACACAAAAAAGAAGAAGAGATAAGGACAATAAGGATATAATTTGAAAGGAAATAAGGAACAAATCACACCGAGAGCATCCGCCAACCACTGACTAACAGCAATTTGAGCAGTGTCAGTAAATACTGAGCAGAGCGCTTCCAGTGTTCTGTAAGTGAAACTTTCTTCTAAGCTAAGACTTAAAAGATAGCCTACTTGTCATAGCCGCACTCAGCCATTCTACTAACCTGCTTAAAGGATATTTTTTTAATTGTCAAAGTGTTAATGACAAAAACAAACAGTACTGCACTTCTCCTACAGGATAACTTTTGCTGTGAGCAGTGTTTGACCCTTTTAATAACAGATTCCGTACACCATACATAGAATATAGTGTGTAGTGTAAGCCACCATGCCATCCTCCAGTAGGCCTACAATGTTCATCTTATAATCAGACGATTTTGGCAATTGTATAGACCATTAGACATTTATCATAAGAGATTTTATAACCACAATACAACGGCTTCCGTTGGAATAGTACTGAAATTACGTAAATCTTCAATTTTTTAAGCGTACCGGGTACTGCAAAATAACTATATATAGATCTAAGTTCTAACACAGCTCTGTCCTGGCAAGCAACAACTGGGCACAGTTAAAGTTGAAAATACTGCATGTTATGAAAGTATTAAATTACAATTTGAGAGTATGATAAAGAAGCTCGCTGGGGTGGTGGGGGGACGGGGAAGAGGGCGGAGGAACGAGATAGAAACATAATAACAGATAACTGTCCTCCAATCTGAAACTGAAACAAACAAAAGGGAACAAAACTTACACATCATCAAAATCGATGATCTGTTTTCTGGCAATGACTTATCCATTGAGCAACACAAAACAGAAATATTTTTAAAAATAATATTGGCAACAGGCATTGTGAGCACACAAAAAAACAACCTACTGTAGGCCTATGTCAAATAAAACCTTAGCGATACCGTAGCCTACATGATAACTGTACAAGACATGTCTGTTTGAAACTATCTGTCATAATTTTCATGAACATCAAAACAATATGGGCCAAAAATGGGAAAGTAAGAAAGACAGACAGCAACAACAGAACTAGAAGGAAAGAAAAAAAGGACCTACCAGTGGTGCTCTTCAACTACCCTCCCAAAGGCAATAGTCAGCAGACTAGACTGTATCAATGAACTAATCAACATGAGAAATGTAAACAACAATTCATAAAAGAATATAGATCTATTATATATATATATTTATAGCTATGCAGTCTAGGACACACATAGTGAACATATTTTTCATGCCCCAAATTTTTTAAAAATTTATCTAGATCTATATATATATATATTTCTTTGTATTCAAAACCTGCACTTAGCGTAAGCAATTCGTACATAGTAGAAAAATTGGCGTCAGAAAGGGTAGCCTACATCTTATTAACACCACCACAAATATTGTTTATCGAAGTAACCTTGGTGGAGAGAGAGAAAGATAGATGGATGGTACAGTACGAGTGTAGGCCACAATCTCCATGAGCCATCGGCAATAGACTCGTGTAGGCTAAGGACCTGATATATTGCATTTGAACATATCGCAGAAACAATGTAACCAGACCTAACTTAGCCTGCACACCTCAGCTGTGCGTATGGGGAGTTTGTGGTCGCATGAAGACATTTTTCTGATTGTGTTACCACGTGTCAGAATTCTTCAATGCAGATTACACACGACACAACAGCTTGTGAGCATTCTGCAAAGTTGGGTCATAGTGAAGTTGTAGTAGAGGGTAGACCATGGCAGAGTAAAAGAAACGAGGAAAAATGGCAAATCCTAGCAGAGATGGATAAAAAATCAATTTCTAGATCTTAACTTGAGCAACTATGAATCCAAATCGCATGACTGCGGGGGATAGGGGTCAAAATTAATGTGAAATTTGTATGTATATATATGAAATTTGTACATAACGCAAAGATTTCAACGTCCCACCACTTTTGCTACATATACATACTAGTACTAGACTGTATGTTGAACAAGGCACACAGAGAACCTTTGAGATTGATTTATGTGGAGAAAAGTCAACAAGAAAGCAGCACTGTGTGTAGCTGCACTGTGTACATGAGTGAGATATTATACCTGGTAAGTGTCAAAAGAAAAACTCTTTGACAAGCAAATTTTAAAATACCACTGAAGATCAACTCTTCTATATTCCATAGAACTTTTCAGAGTTATTATGAGGTCAGTTTGTAAGTCTTCAATTCTTCTGAATATACATGATCCATTCATCACAAAAGAGATTAAGTCACATGTCATGTTTTGTTGTTATCCATCCACAATGTCATAAAGATATCAGCACTAGACTGACCGATGTTATTCACCTAGTTTAACTGAGGGAAAAATTTGAGCTTCAGTATTCAGACTTGTATCATCTTTTGATGAACTTTACAAAGTAAAAAAGACATAGAAGCACCATAAGCTGGGAAAGCAGAACTTTGTACTGTATATTTTCATGTACATGATGCAAGTTCCACTTTCCAAAACAATCAAGAAATTGAAAATAAAAGAAAAAACTTTCTGGAGGAATATTTGAGAAAAACAGGAAAAACCCTCATCTCAAGAATAAGTACGAATTAAATAAACACCACCATACCAACAAAGTCAAAAATCACATTGGAAAAAATTGTTAACAGTATATAAACAAAGCAAAAAAATGCATCAAAACGTATGACACTAGAGATAGCAACAATCCTCTCTTTGGTTAGTTCCTCTCTTATAAAATTAAAACAATACTACAAAATCGACGTACAACCAAACCTGCTCTAGCAACTATCTGTCCAGAATAACCACTTGACTGGTATGGTAGGAACGACCACTTCCTACTTCTCCCTTGTTTTTTGTTGTTTTTGTATGACACTGTCTCAGAGGACCACCAGTCTAAGATGGCCACTTTCTCTTCAACAATGGGGGGGGGGTGTCATCTTGGAAGGGTTCAGATATATTTTCTTTACAATCCATTAAAATGACACTGAAGTCGGAAACTGTGGGTTAATACAATTCTTATCATTCACGTAAAGCTATCTTCCTAACTGAATAACTGTTGAAAACGTCACTGACAATAAGGTAAGTGCCCAAACTTGTATTATAAAAATCCTAGACCATGCACTCAAACGTATTTCCAGCTCACTATGGAGCACACCAATAAAGCCAAATAAGGGGCAAGATGCCATGCAGAGTCAACTGTAACAAAACTGGTAATACATGTGTGTAAGCAAAAGTTGTAAAAGGAGGATTACATCCAGAGAAAAGAAGCACTTTTGACCTTTATTTACCTGTAAAAGAGCAGCTACGGTGTGCACACTTCATAGTGAGGTTTTTAAAGAGAGTGTACAGCGGTGGCCATGAGTGTGCACAGTCTAGGGGTACAAATCTATGGGGAGATGCTGCAAGTGAAAGAATTTGTTTAGAAAAAAACTGATGCTGACCTATCTCCATACAAATGTCTACTTTAATTTCTTTCACTACACACATAACACCGACACTCAAGTACAAATATTCTGTGGCAAAGTTTGTACTTTTTCAGATTTCAAGACGTAATCTGATATTCACCAAAATGTTTACCCTAAACGCCAGGCTTAACAGATTTCCTGAAATTAAGCCTCACAACTTAATCCCCATTTTGAATCGTTGCATGTCTGTCATACTTTTTAAAATTAAGGGTTTATCTAATTGAAGAATAAAATCAACAAAATGGCACAAATTCATTGTAAATTAAGATTTTACATGAAAAAATCAAGACCAGACAGGCTGTACTAAGAATAAAGTCAAAGAAAGAAAAGTTGAAGTGTCACAGCAATACACAAATGATCCATAATCAGCAACTAACATTAACAACCCTGTGGATATCAATATCACCACACATGGATCAGTTCATAGACCGAACCTCTCACGTTCTCAGAGAAGAAAATCAGAGGGAAACATGAAGCAAACAGGTGAGGAACCACGGACATTTTACAATACAAATGGTCGGGATAAAAGTATCTGGGCTATTGATGATACATTCCTTAACTCTTTATCGCCGAGGGGAGTAAACCCACTATGTCAGGGCCCTCTTTTTGGTACAAAATCTAAAAGTGCTTAAACATCACTAGATTGGGCATAAAATCAAAACAAGTGAACCTATTTTGATAGTATAGTTCTTCATCTAATGAATGAGCTCCTGACAAAAGAAACCTGTTTTCGGCAATTGATGAAAACAAATTGGACGTCAAAGTCGGCGTAAAGGAATGTGCCTGAGCTGCCGCCAGAGACGGTCTTAGAGTCTTTGGTAAGATTATAATGCAGCTCTGGCTGTGAAATGGTTAATCAGCGACAGGTAAACCAAAGACCAAATAACCCCGCACCCCCCCCCCCCAAAAAAAAAAAACAACCTTTGATTTGACAATGAACAATAAAGAATAGACTGAAAACTTTTCATGAAACTGAAGATAATGGCGAGAAAAAAAAAGGGGGCTGAGAGGCAGGATGAAGTGATCAGCACAAGCAGTGCCATACTGACCTTAGAGCTCAGATGTCAAGGGACAGATGAGGGTGAGGATCAACCCAATAAATGCATTTGTATTTCCTCAATGAAAACCACTTGTACGATCAAACCATTAAAGTTATGCACTTCTCAAAAGTTTACAGCATACCGTAACCAAAAAATAAAATTTTAACCTCAACATGATCATTTTTACTTATGAACATAATATTAAGATCTCACTTGACCTCTTTATCTTTTCACTCTATAAATGTGAAATGCATAAACCTAAGGGATGTTTGCCTCAGTTTGTTTGAAATCACAACTGCGAAAGCGCTATCAGAAAGGTAAAATTCATAAGCACACGAGTAAACATAAAATGCCCCTTTCAGATTCAGAAATATTCATGCTGAAAGAACAGCAATGGCTTCCTCTCACTCCTCAGAACCTGTTACTGTTTTTTTTCAATAAATATTTACTATTCCAACAATTTGTGCTAAATTATACGTTTTATTTTTATGATAAACAATCCTTAGATGTAAATGCTCTAATCTGTCTGCCTCAATAATTTGCATTGACAATTGACAACAAGTATATCATGTAACAATGGAAAAAGCACAAGAAATCTTACATGTCAACAATAAATCAAAGAGTAAAGAAATTATTGTTTTGGTAAATAAGCATTTTCTTCAGTAATGTAAGTGCATCTTCAAATCACAATTTCACATTTCAACAATCGAAACATGTTACAAGAAAACAAAATTACCCCAAAATTCGTCATAAATAATAACTGACATTAATTCATTCTATAAAACATACGTACAACAGCGCCCAGATTTCTCAACACATCTACAGAGGACAAATCTTCATTTGTCTCCACGCAGTTGTTCATGTTTCTTGACAATGTAATCAACAACTTCTGGCTCACTCAAGGTACTGATGTCTCCCAGTTCATCTGGTTTGTCAGACGCCACTTTACGAAGGATGCGCCGCATAATTTTACCAGAGCGGGTTCTGGGAAGGCCTGGAGTAAACTGAAAAAGAAATCGAAATAACCACAGTGAATAAATGTACCGGTACTTTAAAATATCATGGGAGCAGTTAAAACTGTTAGAAAAACTATTGTGAGCAGTGAAAGTTTTATTGTTCGAGACTTCGCACAAGTGAACACTTCCACTGTAAAAGATGAAGATACCTTTAACCCACTTAGCGCTAAGCAATTTTTACTATTACTTCCCTTCAGTGCTGGGTTTGTTTTAGAAAAATGCTAATTTTAAACATGATAATAAAAAAAAGTTCATATCTTTCTTATTTATCATAATTTCAAATTACAGTAAGAAGGAAAAATATGTCTAGTCAGATGTGCTTTTTTTGTGATGTTGTAGTTGGTATCAAAATGCTCATCATTTTTAGTCCAGCCTGCATGGAGATCAGCAGGAATATCGAAGTCCCCTTCTGGGCTGTAACTCGCTAGATCTACGATATATCCCCATCATTCACGTGTAAATTTTTTATTTGAGGACCTAATCCTTCAAACTCTTCATCACTGTCGTCCAATTTCAGAAAAATGATGGGCAAATCTGTGTATAAATCAGCTGATGAATCCGACATTTTGAAAACTAAACAATGTCCCAGAAAATTGCCGATAAAAACTCCCAACTGACCACCGACTGCCAAATGCCCGGCCAACGGCACTAATAAACGTTGCACTGGTGGACTGTAGACATCACCAGTTCAAAAAATGGTTATTCTCATGTCAGCCGTATAGTTTCTACACTCATGTCGGATCACGGCTGGTGGTCGCGATGCGTACGGAAGGGAGGTATGAGTCATCATGACCACTGGTCGAGATGCGCATGCAGAGGGTTAATAGACAAACAAGGGAGGAACATTTTTTTTTTCCAAAAAAAATATATATCTTACCAGAATCATATCCGGTTGGGCTAAGTTCCCAATTCTCTTTTTAATACCAGCACGCAGTTGAGTCTCAATTTCTTTCTTACCCAAAGTGCGTGTATCCTTCAGGACAACGTATGCATAGATACCTGCAAGGCAGAGGAAATAGATTCTCTCATGACGATGATGCAAAAATGCGATAGATAAATGCCGAACTGTCAAAGAATCATAAGCTCTATCAGGTTTCACCGCAAGTCCTGCCAGGGTTTCAGGCCACAATCTATTCATTTTTTATTACCGAAAAGTCACCTGTCATACTCCTTTACCAATATTCATTTGCAGTAATACACTCTCTGTCAGGAACATAGAAGGGGCTTATCAACATGGGGAGAATCCAGAGCCTGGGGAATGAGGTCACTCACACACTGTTAAGATTTCCTCACTTAAGAATATCCACAAAAGGAAAGGTTAACATTGTACAAATAAAGCTGATCAGATCGTCCAGACGCTGTAACTTGTTTAAATTTCAAAATTGATCATTAGAAATGCTGCAAATATATTGTGCCTCAACAGACACAAATTATACAAGTAAAGATCAATAAGATCCTATAAGGCAGGGGCAACCTAAGCTGTTTGGTAAATATCCAAACAAAAAAAACGTAAACTTGATAAAATGTTTCTCCCATTTAAGAATCCAAAGCACATAATCTGTCTTACGCCAGCAAAACAGATAATAACAACGAAAAAAGATGTTAACATTGAACATATACAGATGGACATCAAAGGTCATACATGAGATAAAATTGCCCTAACAATTACAAAATATTATACCTTCTCCTTTGATCTCATGAGGAAACCCCACAACAGCTGATTCAGCTACATCAATGTGGTCATCCTGCAAGAGAGAAAAATTCCTCATTTACACCATTCAATAAATTTGCTCACCTCTTTATTCACGGAGACTGGGGATTTAAGTGAAAAACAAGCTGACCTTACGCTGTCTCCACAGGTTGTACAAAGAATGTCTGGAAAATCCAGAACACTGAAGTATTGGCTTTTATACCATCAGCAGACAAATACATCTTTACATTAATTCATTCTTGTTCATGTCTCCCTTCAAAGTCCTAAGGATAGATGCACTACGAAAGGAGACGGTCACAGTAGAGGGAAATGCACTAGAAAACATAGAATCCTTCTGCTATCTTGGGAGTATAATTGACAGAGAGGGAGGAACAGGCGCTGAAATAAAGTCTTGCATTGGAAAGGCACAGACTGCATTTATTTCTTTGAATAGGATTTGGAGGACCAGGGATACCTCACTTATCACATGGTCAAAGTGAGAATCTTCAACTCAGATGTGAAGTCAGTCTTGAAATGGATGTGAGACGTAGAACGCATCTCAGACGTGCATAAAGAGGATTCAGGTTTTCTTAAACAAGTGTCTGAGGAAGCTACTGAAGATCAGTTGGGCAGACAGGATCACCAACGAGGAAGTATTAAGAAGAACGAGACAGAGCCCAGTCAGAGATGATGTGGGAAGAAGGAGTTGGCGATGGATTGGACACACTTTCAGGAAGTCGCGCAGAAGTCGAGCAGCTGCATAACAAGGAAAGTGTTAGATTGGAACCCAAAGGGCAAAAGATCAAGGGGAAGACCACGTGGATCCTGGAGAAGAGTCGCAGAAATCGATGTACAGAAAAGTGGGAAGACATGGAGTGACATCAAGCGACTAGTCCAGGATAGGGAAAGGTGCAAAGTGTTTGTTCGTGGCCTATATCCTGACCCAGGGTGAGAAAGGCAATGATGATGATGTCTCCCTTCAGCCCACAGGTAGTTTTTTTAATTTGCTTTAGTTAAAAAGAAATACATAAACACAAAAAAGTCAAACATATGGCAGTGTGGTGAAATCAGGCGCTCGTCAAAATAATTAAATTGAAGAAACTGGCATTTTTCTGCCAGTTTGGTAATTTTATCGAATTTTTGTTTTTTGGCATAACACCATTGTTGTCCAAAAGAACACATTTCTGGGATTTACTGAAAAACGTTGATTAAAGGCACAAAAAATGTAAATTTTCAGTTTCCACGGACTATCAAGCTATGGAAATAACCAAACTTTGGCTACCATTTTCTTGCTAATTTTACCTTTGAAACCAGGCGACCCACCTTCTTCAATCTCAAATATCTTGACTTTCATATAAGATAGATGGGCATTTTTTTCACCGATAGCAAGACAATAGAACAAGTTTTAAGATAATACCAATAACTCCACATGCCCAAAAATTGACGAGCGCCTGATTCCACAACGTCGTGACACAAACAGTTCTTAGAAAAAGCAAGATAAACAGAAAGACCAAAAAAAAAAAAAAAATGACATAAATATAGAAAAGGTGCTTTTCAATGCCCGTCCCCCCTCCCCCCCCCCACCCCCTCAATACCCCTCCCTTTGCCCCTTTTGCCTAACCAATCCATTTTACCAAAAGTGAATATAGCATGGCTGACTAAATGTTTACTCAGGTAGTAATTTCTATAACAACAACAAATTAAAAGCTTTTCACATATGAGCCTTTGCCAATAGGTGGGGGTTTCTATATATAATACCTTACAAAATCCTTCCTATTCCAATAAAAATGGTGCTTCAGCTTTGAAATTTGTATATGTTGTGCTTAATATGATGTTTCAGCTATGGGAGCAGAGAAATAGCAGTCGGGCCACCAGAAGAAATCTTACAAATATTTTTAGTTCTGAAAACAATGTATTTTTAGAATTCAAAACATGACACTTCGAGTTCATACTTTTTCTGTCATCAAGTTCAACAATGAAGTAATTCCTGAGAAACTCGTCCTTCTACATTTTTACTACTCTATAATTACACTATTTGTTGTGCTATATCAGGAACAATGATATCTGTAGCTCTTCTTTCTTTGTGAGCCTTCTAGATTTTAATTTTCGAGCATTACTCGTGTAGTCATTATTTTGCAAGGCAACTTCGATTCCCTGTGACTTCATTTCTATCGACCATTTTGGGGCCCGGGAACGAGCATAATATTTTATAAGCTCTTCATGCTTATGTTTGAAAATTAAAGCAATAAGAAAGCTTAAAATAATTTTGTATGTTCAAATTCTTTAAAAAATGTCATCATAGTTATGTCCGAAAGAACTTGACTTGATGTTATGCAACGCCAGTTACACCTCTTAGTGTGCCATCTGTAGGTCTGTAAAATACATGTTTTTGTAGGAGGAGATATACATGAATAGAAAAATCCAAGTAAAAATGGAATATTAAAAACTTTATCAACCCTCTGTACTACATTTTAGGTACCCACCTATAGGCAAAAGCTCATATAAAAAAGACTGAACAAATGGTGCGAAAATAGGAGAAAGGTGGAATTTAGTCTCTCAAATCAAACCCCATGTAACCCCTATTATTTTAACAGCTTATGGACCCAGAGGATCACACTCCAACCAGGTTTCATAATGCATACCATAACATCCTCAATCTCAGCTGTCCCAAGACGATGGCCGCTGACGTTAAGAACATCATCCATGCGACCTGTGATCTGGTAGTAGCCCCCCTTGTGTCTGTGTGCACCATCTCCAGTGTAGTACATGCCTGTGCAGGAGTTGATAGTTGAAGCACAGGTTCACTTTCATTATTGATACACAATATTACACTATAGATAATGAAACAGCAATTCATTGGCACAATATTACACAATAGATTTATAAACAGCATTCATTGGACTTACACACTTTCCAACAATCTAATCATTTATCTTGGAACTCTAAAATAGAATAAAAAGAATGAAAATTAAAGATAAATCAGCAGGTACATGATAACACAGGCCCTCAACTGAGTCACTGCAAGCAAAGTACACACTACAGTCTTTCCAAATCAGCACATCTCCGGCAAGGAGCCTTCCTACCTAATATTTCATAAAAGCACCACGATAGAGTACACTCACATAAATAGAGGCCAGCACACTACATGTCTACCTAAAAATGTCAGACTACAGAAAATCGAAGCTCCCGGCTTCACAAGCAAGAAAGGCAAACATTTTCAACAGCACAAGTATGTCAAGAATATATATTCTAGTGTACACACATGAATGTAGACCTAAACTGTAAACTGACTGGAACATCACATAAAATTAGAAGAAGACAACCATCACACACTCTGAGGCATATCAGTGAGACAAAACCAGACGAACGGAAATTTAAATATTGCCTACACATAACACAAAGAAATGCTTTTTTACAACTTGAATGGAAAGCTGTAATACAAAAGCACTATCCCACAAAAGAGAAAAGTTCTCTAAACACATCAATAATAGTACATAGAGGATGAACTGGGGATAAGGATGAACAAAATTCTGTGACCTCTAAAAAGTGGACATCCTCAGATCCATGGAAAGTTGCAATCACTGAAATATATAGTACCATTCCTCACCTGGCATAGGCTTGAAGTATGTCTCAAAATATCGCTGATGATCACCATGGATGGTCCTGGCAATGCCCGGCCACGGGCGGCGAATGCACAGAGCTCCCTCACAGTCCTCCCCGGTCACTTCTGCACCCTAGAAAAGTGCACACATTTATTTATGTAAATATTAACACCCAGGAACACGCAAAAACAACTATATCGGGGAAACACATCAATGATTAGACCACAATTGTACGGATACAAAATAAGACCACAAGTCATGACAGTATTAGCATTTAAAAAACTATTTCTTAGTATCATTGAGCAACAGAAACCTTCTTTATTTTTCCTTCAATTGATTTAATATGATGCCAGCCTGATCAAACAGGATAAATAAAGGACTATAAGAATAAATGAAAGGGAAACTTTCTTTCAGACAACTGTACACAAAACTTCATTTCCACCTTTACGGCTGTCAAAAAGTCTGAAGGTGCAGGAACTCTAAAATATCGGAAAAGCAGTACAAAGCAGATGATGACCACTTCATCATTGCAAATATTTTCTGTTGAAAACAGACGGTACTGCACAATCTCACATACTAAACATCATCAAAGAGAAAAGTGCAACTCCTGGCTCTCAATTTAATTGAAACGTCTAGGATCTGTCTGAAGAATCAACAACTCACTCATTATCAACACCCCCAGCAGGCCTACACTGTTGTGGGAACAGACCTGCCCTCTATGACCAAAAATAGGAGTTTTCCTCAAAATCCTCCCTATAAATCAGAGTTGGGGGGGGGGGTATCAGAAGCTCCAGAACCCCATTATTACATTATGAACTGATCGCAACAATTAAACATGTTTATAAATAATTTTTAAAATAAAAATGTGTATTTTTAAGTAGCACAAATATTGCAAATGCGCACCGTTATACAGAAGAACTCGTATTCAACAAAGTTGTTGGGCCTGACCTTCAATTTCATTGAAACCAAGTGTTCGTTATCGCAAATATGAGCTTTTGTGTAGATAATTACAGGCATCAAGCAAGTAATGTATAATGCATTCGGCTTTCTTCATCGAAGTAGTTTGGTTTCAAATGAGAGGCGTTTTGGTTTCTTTGATACCAAAAAAATGCTGGAAAATTCTAGGAAAATATACTGAACTCTACCAAGCACACACTGTGCAAAAGGACTGAATCGTTCAAATGCACGTCCGTATCATCTATCATCTATAAGGTATTACCTGTCCTGGGCAACAACGTCTTTGCACACCAGACAGGTCCATAAGTGCTCAGTTCCTCCCAGCACCAAAGTCCGCAAGGTATCCATACTGATTGTTCCGGTGGATGTTTGATTATGGCGACGTCTTTCCTTTCCAGATAATCCTTCCTTTCTTCCTTCTCCCCTCTCTATGCCCATTTCCCGCATTCTAATGATTGCATGGTGTTCTGCTGTCTCCCTGTCTTCCTCATCCTGGAACTTTTACTCCAGGGTCTTCAACACTTCTCCTTTGTCAAATTTCACCTAACCATCAACCACGGCACTGCCTGCCAGCCTATCAGCCTCCTCATTGCCCTTCACTCCAGAGTGCCCAGGACAGAATATCCACGTGATGGCTGTAAGTGATGAGTGTTGTATTGGGTTTATCCATTCACTCCGAAGCAGCCCTTTCCCAACCCTTCGCAGGATGCTCTAGGAGTCTGTGACAATAATGAGACGGGTAGTTCTTGGTCTTGTATTTCAATCTTCATTTTCATGCTTGGAGTTGTTCTTTCTATGGCCCCTGACATGCTATGAACCTTTTTGTTCCCACTGTACACCACAAAACCCCACCCACTTCTCTCACCCCTCTCGACTGATCCATCCGTATAGATCACTGGGTCCTCTGGCTTGGAATGCTCCTCAATTAACTGTTGTATGTCATTGTCGTTAATAACAGCAGCACATTCCCGTCTTTCACCACCCATAGTGATGTGAACGTTGGCCAGGCTTCTGCAATCAGGGCTCAGTTCAAATCATTCCTTTCCACAGCATATTGTTTGCCAAACAAGTTATGATACTGTGTAGAGCCTAGCATACGGAAACGTTTGACTCCAAAGTGTAGCACATAATTCATTTCGTGAATCTATGTCAAGATTAGCCCTATCACTGTAATATTGATCAGTAGCCGTGAAAAAAATAACTATGTCGCATTTGTATCTCTACTGACGTTCCACGCCCGGACCGCTAGTGCCCCCCCTCCCATCCCCCTAATCACACGCACACACAGTCACACGTCATACGTGTGCTGGCCCCCGTCCGACACCGACACATACAAAGACATGGGTGCCTGTGAACAACGCATGTGTTGGTATGAAAGGAGGCCGCTGATTGGACGCATAGAGCAGTTCACCCTGGAAGCGACTTTGCTGACTCCTTGCTTGCTCATTTATGTGTTCGTTGAATCTGAATTATTTTTACTGGTTTTATGGATAAAAAAAGGGGAATCCAACGCCCTACGTTGAATAGGAGTTTGTTGAAACCGAATTCCACTGCATAATGTGTATTTTAAAGTGATTTACGATAAGTTGCATATGACCCATGACCAAGGAATTGAAGGGAAAAATCAGATTTTACGCAAATCCGGGTTCTTAAACAGGTTAAAGAATATCAGAGGGCTCAGATTTTATTAAAGTAATTGTCACATTTGTCAGTACTTCAGGGGAAGAGAGAGAAGAAATGGTCCAGTAACCTCAATGTCAGCCCTAATTCAGTCTACAATTGGCACTTAAAATAATTTTTTTGTTTCTAAAGTCACAAAGTTAACATTCCCTACGATGGAATTTAGTTCTTTTCCCATGACTAAGTCTAAGGATAAACTGCAAAAGTGACCTCAGTCTAAAGGAACATTTCACTCATATAGCTCATTTTTTTCAGCTGCGTGTAACTTCTGTCTGGTCCATGGTGTAAAATTCGTACTTAATACATAAAAGATACACATTCAACAAAAACAATCCGCAAAACCCAACGTTGGCAATTTGAAATGAGCAGGCCAAATGAAAGATCTAAACCGAAATGGCACTTGAAATTTTATTCAAAATCGTAACTAGCTGAGAAGAAGAGGAAAAAAATAAAAGAGAGGCTCACTTGTGTATCAACCAAGGCCAAGTCAATCCCCAGCATCGGGCGCATGGGCATCCCTGGTCGGATCTCTGCACCAGGCTCTGATGGTCGTGGACTAATACAAATGCCACCCGTCTCTGCCAGAATAAAAGGAAAATATTTTTTAAAACAACAAAATAACGTTACTTTCAGCCCTCACAGCGATTGTGAAACAACTTTGTGTACCCAGGTAGATAGCGCGATTTTGTACCAAATGCCTTCACATACGGTACAAAAACTTGGCAAAACAAAGACACTATCACTAAGTGGAGACACCGAAACACTCTCTGAAAATCCCAGAATCAATAATCCACATAAAATCTAACTTGTGTACAAATGAATATAATTATAATTTACCCATTCAAGTGCTAATTTAATGTACTACCGGAAATGTAACTAACCAAAGGGTCAAAGGAACAGTTGTACGTACCTGTCTGCCACCATGTGTCTATGATGTCACATCTTTTCTCCCCAACAACATTGTAGTACCACTCCCAGGCTTCACTATTTAGGGGCTCACCAACTGGAAACATAAAATAGCCATGGGGTACCAACATAATCCATGAAACAAAAAGGCCAGCTTAAGCACATAATAGGAATGCATGTACAAAATCTCCAAATGTCAGGACTGTAAATGAACCACTTTAAAGTTAAAGCTGTGTAGTTTATATGGCCCACTAAACCTGGCAGTGGGATAAGGATTTGTTTTCCCGATGGAAGTTCTTATGAGTCTTTTGACGCAAATAGATCTTTATGTTCAAACTCTGAAGGAGAACTTCTAGGAATTCAAGCTACCTTAAAGCACTTACACAACATTTTTAAAACTGACTTGACATCCTTTAAAAAAATATTGCTGTTTTCAGTGATTCCACATCAGCCTTGCAGACTAAGAAAAACTGTGAGACAGACAGTGAGGAAGTCCACCACATCATTTTAACAGCTGACCATCTTCTCTTCTCCTCTGCTGTAATAGGCAGTGCCCATTGAAGGATCAGTTCAGTTCAGTCCGGTCCAGTCTGAATTGGTTCGGTTTGATTTCTGCCTGCTTCAGTGCACACAATAGACTGACCCCTGCCTCAAACCGATTGCCCGACTCGCGTACTTGAGAACCAACGTGTTAGTTCTAGAAGGTCATCGTCGTTTTGTGCTACCCTTGACAACCAAACCGAACTGAACCAAACAGATCTGATCCTGCCAACGGGCACTGGATATAAGGCTTGCTCTACAGTAGATCCCAGGACAAACAAACACTTCCAGTAAAATCAATGCAGACACACTAACCAAAAAAGGATCCCATCTAGAAAAAACAATCAAACCAAGACCATTCAAAACAACAAAAATCATCGAGGAAAACTGCAGAGAAAAATTAATGAAATGATGGCAAATTTATTATCACATGAGCAAGGTGAACTGAACTCACAGCATAAATGCCCTCAACAGAAGGGAACCAACAACTAAACAGAATCAACCCGGGAAAAAAACACCCATGTCCTTGCATTGCGACCATGTCTACAAAACAGTCCGATATCTCCTCTTCGAATGGCCCAAAGTACAGGATCTTCAAGAGAAGCTTATTCTTCCATTCCCCTCCAGTACCTTATACTGCAGCAAAGAACAAATGTCGAAAACACTATTATTATTTTACCCATGGCATTGAACCGAAGGGCACATGCTAAAAGGCTACTGGACTGACAACAATAACAACATATGGTCCACTAATTACAACAGAAACATAAAAGGAAGAGTAAGCTGTAAAACTCAGGAAAAGTATTTATCTTTTAAACCAAACTGCAGAACATATTGTTCTTCATATAAAGTACATGAAGATATTACAAGTGCTTAATCACAAACTTCCAAAGCAAAAAAGTATTTATGCAAAGAAAGAAGAAACTTAGCTACAGCAAGAATTTTTCTGACAAAACAGGACATAGTAAATATTCCATTAGAATGTCAAATGTCGAAGGCCAAAATGTATATTTCTCCACATAGATAACTGTTGATTCAAGTCAGTCTCCAAAGAAACAACAAACTGAACATAATTTCTAGACACGGTACATTTCTTGAGCATAAATGATAAGACAAAGTTGATAATCATTCTTTAAAAAGTACATCAAGGTTTCAGAAGTGCAAATCTTTCTCAGTTTTGGTTGTAAACATGTAAACAATTTACAACAATCCTTTACGTAAAATAAAAAAACAATTATGCCATATTTGTCATTCAATGCTGAGGAAAAGAAGAAACAACAAGATGCATTCTAAAGAAGCAGGACATATAATGGGTGCCCACCAACAAATAATGATGGCATTTTTATTACACATAAAAACAATGTGTCCATAGTGAAAAATAACAAATGAGATCTTTCAGCTACTACTCTTTAAACTGTCAAGTTTAGATTCTGAAAAATCCTCAACAATCACCAAAACCTATAGAGTGGAACTCGGATTCAACGAGGTCGGCGGACCTGACCTAAAATCTCGTTGAATCCAAGTGTTCGTTATAGCAAACACGAGGTTTTGAGTAGATAATTACAGGCACTGAGCAAGTAATGTAGAAAGATATAAAATGCACACGCCTGTGTCATCTGGATTGTTTACCAAAAAGTTGTATTGCTGTGTACAGCCTAGCATACGGCAACTTTTGATTCCATAGACTAGCGCACAATTCAATAGATCTACGTAGATTTAAGTCAAGACTAGCTTATCATTGTAATAATGATCAGTTGCCGAGGGAAAAAAAAAGACTGTGACGCGTTTGTATCTGCGACGTTCAACGCCCGGACTGCGAGTGCCCCCCCCCCCCCCCCTGACACGCACACACAGCCACACGTGTGCAAGCCGCGCATCTGACCCCGATACAAGCCACAGTAGACACGTGCACGTGCCAACAACGCATGTGTTGGTATAAAAAAAGGCAAATGATTTGTTGCATGCAATCGGGTAAGTGAATAATGGTTCATGATGCAGGTGCAATGGATGGTTTCCGGGAATAGATAAAGTTCGTTCTGGGAGAAAAATGAGCGAAGCCACGCCTGCGGGGTCTGTTCACCCTGGAAGCGACCTCGTTGAATCCGAGCTCGCTGGTATAAGTGTTCGTTGAATCCGGGTTATTTTTATTGATTTCAAAGAAGAAAAAAAACGGGGTGAATCCGGTTTATTTTTATTGATTTTAAAGAAGAAAAAAAACGGGGAACCTATCTCATCTCATTGAATCCGAGTTCTCGTTGAATCCGAGCTCGTTGAATCCGAGTTCCACTGTACACCAAAATTCTAAGCAGTAAATATGAACTGCATTACTCACCACATCCCAATTTGCGCAAACTTGACCTATCGTATTTTTTCACATACTCATCTCCAGCTTTCAACAACATACGCAATGAAGTTGGAGCCAGGTATATGTGATCCAGCTTGAGCCTCTCGACCATCTCCCAATAGCGACCTAAAGCATGACACAGGTAAAAACTCAATACACATCTTCATGGCATTTTTGCAAGATTTGAATTTTCCCTTTAACAAAATAAATAAGTAAACAATCCTCAAAAATTTTTTCAAGTCGCAGTTTAACTATATTCAGCTTTCACAACTATCCTTCCCTTAAAGCAAGCTAGTCGGAGACAATTAATGGACCAACAAGAGATGTGAGAGCGGTTTTCTTCACCAAGCATTGTCCATGCGGACCATAACCTCCAGTACTCATTAATCTCAAACATGAAAAGACAATGTAAAACAAAAAGCCATGTTACCAATCATTAGGGGGAAAAAATGGAAATTTTTATAGATCTCCTTGTGGAAATTTGAGTTACAGTAGCAGTGAAAATGAGCATATACATAAATTTAGAGGTTACATGAAAACCACATGTTACACAATATGAGGATATAGACAATAGGAACACGCCAGTGCTGGTCATCACAGCCCAGCATCCTGCTTTTCTAGATAAGGGGGACAAATCCTGCACAGGGAAACACTCAACCAACCGTTCACCAAGAATGTTCTGTTCCTAACATTGCTTAACATTATTCATGAGCTCAGTAACTACTCAACCACTGCAGTACACGTATCTACTACTGACTACACACCTCCAGCTGTTAGTCAGGACAGCACACTCAAACAATTCACACTTACAGTGCCACAGGCTCATATAACGGGAAAAACTCTCAAGTACTGCACTAGCTTCGAAAGCTGAAGCCATGGTAGAATTTATAAGAACTTTTAAAAACCTGCACTTCCCAAGAAACACGCTTTGAATTAAGTTTCATCAACCATTCAGCCATCACGACACAGAGTGACTTCCTTAGGTATTTACTTTAGTGAAATAGCTCCGTTCGTTGTTTAAATATGTTAAGTGTGCTTGGTTGAGTTGGCAACTAAAGCCGCCAGCAGTAATGAACGCATACTACGGCCTGGCGACAAAAGCGCTAAATGTGTTAAGAATTTAGTGACTTTCTCAAATGTTGAAAACAACATATTTGATAATATTGAGACTGATGCTTTCAACTATATATCTTTCATACCCCATTTGCACATCTAATTTTGTCTCCTGTCAAAAAATAAAAGTGTAGATTTGACACAGTGCATGGATGAGGCTGGATGCATCCCTGGCACACAAAGTGAAAGCAGTATGTATGGGGAAACCCACTGGAGGAGTGTTAGGTACAGGACATTACTTCAGCTTTAAATTTGACTTCAAGAGAAATGCCATTGATAAGAAATATTGTACCTGGATCTGGATACAAAGGAGTGCTCTCAAAGAGCAATGTTGTTCCCCCATTGGACAGTGGTCCATACAACGCATAGCTATGACCAGTGATCCATCCAATGTCAGCCACACAACCAAATATTTCACCGGGGTTGTAGTCAAATGCATGCTGAGATGAAATAATATCACATATTTTAGGGAACTGATAGAAATAACACACTTTTATAAATCACTAGCCGCGTGATTCAACCGCTTAAGTGCCAAGCGACAAATTTTTCAGGAGAAGCAGAAAACTTTTATTTCTGTATTGTCAGTAGGCTCCTCCAGGAAGTTACTGACACAAGAAGTTTAGAAGAGAATTCATGGGCAATCAATGGACCTTCTCCTTGGTGCCAACCAGGACACTTCATATCTTTAGTTACCAAATTTAAAAAAAAATAGACAGCTAATTTGGTCCTGTTACGACATAGTGCCGCAGATGCGTTCAATACCATACTAATAAATCCGCTTCTAAGTGCAAGCACACTTGACATAATGTGGTCCCATCCACCGGGTTATGTGCAAGCTTCTTGTTAGATTTTTTCTCCTACCGTGCATACATCACATTGATCCTTCCGACATTTATACAACAACATGTTGCTCTTTTATATCTCTCTAAAGTCGTCTGGGACAATGTGTGACTCTTTCCGTTTGCTTTGGTACTCTCTATAAAGGCCTCTGAGGGTTTGAAAGTGTTAATAAAGATAGACTTTGCCTGTATTCTGTCTATAGTAATGGGAAAGCAACTTTGTCAAGTTTGTCAAAGAATTGCTTATCAAAAAATTGCTTGTCCTCTTCTGCTCTCTGGTAATTTGACAATCGCGGAGTTCCATCTCCAATTCATGTAAACTGTCTAGGCAACAGTCACGAATAACCACTGTGAGAGGACAGCTGTGTTCAAACTTATTGTTTTGCATGTAGGTAAAATGTATGAGATGTGTGTCAAATTAAAGTGTAGAGCTGGAGAATTGAATTTGAAGGTTTGTTGAAGAGAGAATTTTCGGGGTGAATATTATGTTTATGGGTTGCTTTTTTTTTCCGAGAGACAAATTAAGTATCATCTACCTGGAACATTAATCAATGATTCAAGAATGACACATGACAGACACAGCAAGGGGCGCACACTTAAAGTAAATGAGGAAACGCAAAAAGTCGTGATAAAAATATTTTCCAATAGTTGTGCCGAATATGAAACAAACGCCCCTTACCAGTCAATTAAAAACTTTTTTTTTTAAATCATTCGTTAGTAGCTTTTGCCACAACATACCCACTTGGTCATATAAAATAAGATCTGCCCCAACAATTTCCATTTTCAAAAATCAGCTGAAGCATTTTTTATTCACAAAAGCATACCTGTCTTAATGATGTACTGTGATATATATATGCATGTGTACGCCAGTCTGTGAGACTGAAGAAATAGCGTGTGAGACTGAAGAAATAGCGTGTGAGAATGAGAGAGAGAAAAAGAGAGAGAGAGATAGGGAGAGAAAAGAGAGAGAGATAGAGGGAGAGAGAAAGAGAGAGAAAGAGAGAGAAAGAGAGAGAGAGTGAGAGAGAGAGAGAAAGAGAGAGAGAGAGAGAGAGAAAGAGAGAGAGAGAGAGAGAGAGAATGGAAATGTTTTTCTATCTGTATAGAATTAATGTTTTAAAGAATGTTTCTAGTTACTCACGTTTCAACTTTATTGTGACCGTTCGTGAATTTTTATTGCATTGTTTTTTTTAGTGAACACATTTTCAACCTCACTGCGAGACTATTTTTCTCATATAAAATTGTACACATATGCATTTATATTATATGTATAATACGTTGTTTTATGTACGCACTTGTCGATTAATCTTTAAGACGTGATGTCTTTTTCGTTGTAATGCGCATTGAGCATCTTTTAGAAAATGAAAATGCGCAGTATAAATGTTATTTATTATTATTATTATTGGTCGAGTCAGTATTAACATTTAATATTCTTTGATGCCATCTTGCCCTTTCTCAACTACACTACCAAACCTAGTGATAGATTATGCAAACCGCCTTAACAAAATCTTCTGGAAACCGATACAGTACGATCTGACTGACGTGAAGTTAGCAAAGGCAGCACTTTATTTTGATGTTACCCTCCAGTGTGCTTTGACAAAGGCCACAGTCGTGTGGGTCATGCCGCCTACGTGATTCAACCACCCATTTGCCACCGGGCTGCAAAACTGGCACTTGGGCGGCTGAATCACATGGAAATTGGGGACTGGTGTGATATAGGTGGTTGATTTAGTGAAGGATTGAAACACTTTGCAGTAATCTTTTTAACTCGGGATTTTAACATAAGATGTATCAAAGGTTGTTCTACATAAACAGATCAAAAAGCGATTTTCGAAAATGTTGTCACTTAGGCGGTTGAATCACATGGCTAGTGATATATAAATAAGCATTTCCCTAAGCAGAAGAAAGATTCATAAACTACAAAAACACACAACATGCCCTACTCAGGAGCAAATGCAAAACTTTCAAATGAAAACTAATTCCCCAGTATGGATAAAAGAATGCGGAACTGCACAGCATTGACACAGTATAACAGCTAAAAGTATGCATCCCATAGGTAGAGAGGTAATAAAGTTTGGATTACAACATGTCAACATAGAACTAAATCTGAACAACTACAATTATAGCCGTGTAGACATATATATTGCAAAAGAAAATCATAAAAAGAAGTTAAAACAGGTAAACGTGCTCCCCATTCTGATAAAAAAAAAACTGAACATACATGACATTAAAGACAGGAAAAGAAATTTTGCATGCTTTTTTTTCATGTGGAAAAGACCAAATCTTAATTTGCATCAGGAAAAAAAGTCTGGTCGTTAATTAACATCAGACTGACTAATGGCAAACTTTGAGTAAACAAAGTTCTATATTCAAGCATACATCAAAACTTTTCTATAAAGAACAGTGTTTTGCCAATGTCAGTCAACTTATATCAATTAAACTCTATGCTAACATCCGAATTCATTATCACTTTAGAGTTTATAAAAAGAGAAAACAATTTTTAAAGGGTTAAAAAAGAAATAAACTGAAAATGACCACTGGTCCAAAGGCAGTCGTCTCAAATTGACTGACTTTAGAGAAATAAATCGTGCCCCACAAACTAAACCATTTCATCCAACATTTCCTGCTACTTCTCTCTTCTTGTGTTACATGAAAATCTTACTTTACAAGATAACTATCAAGAGGCCTTAAGACTGCCATCCTCAGTATGACACAAAAAACAGGGAGAATTTAAGAAAACAAACTCACAGAGCATTCAGTTCCACAACAACCTTACAACAAACACACATGTAATATTTCAAACTTTGTACAATATTTAAACACACAAACCAGTTACTATCATTACCTTAAATGTGACATTGGTATAGAGCAAATACCCAGCTGTGGAATGTGTGATCCCCTTTGGCTTTCCAGTGCTGCCAGAAGTGTACAGCATGAAAAGTGTATCTTCGCTGTTCCGCTCTTCCACGGGACAGTCTGGCGATTCATGAGCCATGGCCTGCAATAATTGCAGAGACAGATGCAAATTTATAGAGTGACAAACTTTTTGGTAAAACTTCCAAATTTTGAGGAGAGATAATACAATTTCACAATTACAACACAGTTAAAGAGATATGAAAGTCAAATTCTTCTGCAGATGAGTAGCATTAGTTGGAGCAAAATTTGTAGTACAGTCAACCTACAGCTTAAGTTTGATATAAGGTTTATGTGATGATGGGAATAAAACTTTGTACTTAAGTTCACTTCTGAAACAAGCAAAAATTTCTGGTGAGCTTTTCATACCTCTACCATATCAATGTCCAGTTTTCCCATGGGCACTTTTGTTTCAGTCCGATTGTAGACCAGTACTTGCTTAACCCCTGGGCATTTGCTGACTGCAGCATCCACTGTTTGCTTCAGTTCAATGATTCTACCTCCTCGAACTGTCTGATTAGCTGTCACCACAGTTTGTGCCTCGGCTGTCAATAGTCAGGACAAGTCATGTGAATCAGAAAGCGCAGAGACGTACATAGTAAACCTTCCTTCTCTGCCTTCTACTCGAAATTTAAATATGAAAGAGAAAAGCTTCACCAGTACTATAATACCAGTTAAAGATGTCTCAGACTAGACTTGGCTTTTCCAGCTCACCTTTGCTTTTCTTTATTAGGTAGGAAAACTATAAAATTTGCTCTTTTAGAGAAAGGCTCAACAATTGTTAATCAGATTTTAAGCATAAAAAACTAACACAAACTTTATCAGACACAAATTCTTACAACCTAATCAAATACAAATGTAAATGAGAAAAAACCACCAACATATAACAATATTCCACAAAACGATAAATAGAAACGAGACAAAAACCCCAAGATATAAAAATATTCCACACAACGATATACTAAATGTAAACAAAAAGAACAGATATCATCATCGACTAATATAAAAAATTGCATAAGTAAGTAAAATTGACATCACTAGCATTACCATCCTGTATCCTCCCTGCCAAGGCATCAGCACTGAAGCCAGCAAATACAACACTGTGTATAGCACCAATCCTGGCACAAGCCAGCATGGTAGCAATTGCCATAGGTGTCTTGGGAAGATAGATTGCCACCCGATCACCAGCCTTAACCCCACTGTTGCGGAGCAGATTGCCAATTCTGCCAACCATTTCTGACAGTTCTCTGTAAACAAAGGTAGAATTTTTTAATTTTTTTTTCAAAGAAACAAAAAGTTTCAACGACAGTCTTGGGATATAACTTAGTTTCATAAATCTTTCAAAATATATTGTAGTGCAAGTCAAATTAAATCATACATTTCATTTAAAAATCAATGGTTGATTGCAAACCAATGAATTGCCATATATATGGCACATGCATAAATCGGAACTGCAAAAGAACCAGAGATGGGTTTTGATTCTTACATATGGTTTACATGTCATTAATTTGTCTTTCCAAAGTTTACCATTTTCAGAGAGATCAATTGTAGCCAGGGGGAATATTATAGCTCACAGCTATAAAAAATGCAGTCGCAAAAATAGTGCTCATTCCATACTTAACATAAGTCACAAGCTTCTAAGAATAAATCCACATATGAATTAAAAATATAAGTAGAAACTATAATGCATAATCCTTTTCCCCGATATTTCAATAAAAGTGAAACTGGAAAAGTACTTACTGCTTGCAAAATGAGAGTCTGTTAACTCTTTAAACCCCATCGGACACTGGGAGCGTCCGGCGGTAATAACCCTGCTCCCCAATCAGACACTGGGAGCATCTGATACTAGTGACAACGGTTTCATTTCATTTACAGCTAGTTTTTGCTTGCTTTTCGGAACAATTCCCAAACCAAGTTTTTTAGTAATTACTTTTTGGGTGACTCAGGCAGTGTCAAAGGCCCAAAAACGAAAAAATTACTAATGTACAGCCATTAAAAAGACAAATTCTTCACAATCTGAGCATAAAACCTGCAACATGCAGTGTCCTTCCAATATCTTTTTTTTTAAATGCAGACTTCACAACAGACACAAGCTTACTTGTAGGTAAGATATACATGAGTGCCAGGTTCATCACGCTCCCAAATTAGAGCAACTTGATCCCCTCTTTCTTTGAGATGCCTATCGACACAATTGACTGAAAATAAAAAAGGTATCAAGCATAAGGGTGCTAAATGGCCATACGCCAAGGTGTAACAAATATATGCAAAAATTTTACCACAATAGATCAAATGGCTTCCTTATAACTTCACAAGAAAGCGAGAATACTGATTTTTTAAAAAGATTTTCCAAAAAAAAACAGCAAAAAAAATAAAATTATTTTTCTTACTTTGCACTTCTTTAGTCCAAATTAAATAAAAGCTTTGGTATAACATGATATTCTTACTCTGATATAAGCAAATTATTCATGAGTTCTGTCTTCGCAGCTCTCCAATTTTTTTCTGCTCCCTTTTGCTGCCTCCGATGATCTTCCAGCTTATTTTTTATAGCATTAGTATTCATTTTTGGCAGAGCGCAGAATTTGATCTTGTAAAATGACCTGGGGTAACATCAAGTTCATACAGGGCCTCACAACTGACACGTCACCGTCATATTCACTGTAATGTGCTTTATGAAAAGGTACATTGTTTGCCCCACACTGGATCACACTAAGGTGTGAACTCGTCATCACATTTATTTTCCCAAAACAACAGGCTCGCATCTGAGCTCTCCATCTAAGCTTACATCACACGTTTAGAGGATAGGGACAAATTCGCTCTGGTCCAGGCGGTATGACATCAAGCTGTGAACTCTTCCCTAACCATTGCAGCTGTTGTCTCTACTCCTGAATTTGCGAGAGAGACTGAATTTTAATTGGTGTGGTCGCAACACAATGGTGCGTAACGACAAAGGGGATGGAAAGCTATCAATTTCGAATATATGTAAAGGGGAGGAGCAACTGGATATATAAGCGTACATCTTGAGACTCACGATAGGATAATTAAGTGAAAATGGCATGCCTCATGCCCCTATGATTGGTCATCAAGGTTGACCACTCTTTGCTCGCCTAAAGTCATGATAAGCACACCCAGGGGTCATGTTAGTGCCTGAACATGGGTCACTGTGGACTCTTCCCTTGCTTCATCATAGACTAAGATCTCATATTTTCCTTGCTCCCGAGCACCAAGAGACTACTGTATTGATACCAGATTGTCTAGGACATCCACGTATAAGACAACCAGTTTTCTAACAATGGGTGGCTATTCTGGACAATTTTTACAGTATTTGAAAGAGGGAGAAAGAGGAGAGAGAGGAAGAGAAGAGAGGAGAGAGAGAGGAAGAGAAGAGAGGAGAGAGAGAGAGAGAGAGAGA